TGTCTGTATTAGAGAGATGTCTGTATTAAAGAGCTGTTAGTATTAGAGAGGTGTCTGTATTAGAGAGGTGTCTGTATTAAAGAGGTGTCTGTATTAGAGAGCTGCCAGTATTAGAGTGGTGTATTAGAGAAGTGTCTACTGTATATTAGAGTGGTGTATTAGAGAAGCGTCTGTATTAGAGTGGTGTATTAAAGAGGTGTCTGTATTAGAGTGGTGTACTAAAGAGGTGTCTGTATTAGAGTGGTGTATTAAAGAGGTGTCTGTATTAGAGTGGTGTATTAGAGAAGCGTCTGTATTAGAGTGGTGTATTAAAGAGGTGTCTGTATTAGAGCGGTGTGTTAAAGAGGTGTCTGTATTAGAGTGGTGTATTAAAGAGGTGTCTGTATTAGAGTGGTGTATTGGAGAGGTGTCCACAAGCAGTATAATATTACATAATAGAAGAACATCTTCAATATCAGAGTGATCTTACCAACAATCTGAGCGCTTAGTCCATTCACAGTCTCATCTATTGTCAACCATGGTTTATCCTCAACATGAGCATGACCTAAAACACCTCTGTAGGAAAACACTTTGGGATATGGTGGTGGTGATGATAGTGGTGGTGATGTTTCAGATTATGGTAGTTTTCATAGTGGTGATGATGATGGTGGTCATGCCATTCTTGATGGTGATGATGCTGGTGGTGATGACATTGGTGATGGTGCTGGTCGTCATGCCATTCATGATGGTGATGATGCTGGTGGTGATGACATTGGTGATGGTGATGATGCTGGTGGTCATGCCATTCATGATGGTGATGATGCTGGTGGTGATGACATTGGTGATGGTGGTCATGCCATTCATGATGGTGATGATGCTGGTGGTGATGACATTGGTGATGGTGCTGGTGGTCATGCCATTCATGATGGTGATGATGCTGGTGGTGATGACATTGGTGATGGTGATGATGCTGGTGGTCATGCCATTCATGATGGTGATGATGCTGGTGGTGATGACATTGGTGATGATGCTGGTGGTCATGCCATTCATGATGGTGATGATGCTGGTGGTGATGATGCTGGTGGTGATGACATTGGTGATGGTGATGATGCTGGTGGTCATTGACATGGTGATGAAGATGGTGATAATGCTGTCAGGTTATGATGATGTTGGTGATGATGCTGGTGGTGATGACATTGGTGATGATGCTGGTGGTGCATTAATTGACATGGTGATGAAGATCGTGATAATGCTGTCAGGTTATGATGATGTTGGTGATGATGCTGGTGGTGATGACATTGGTGATGATGCTGGTAGTTTTATAATGTCATTTGTGATAATGGTGGTGGTCACTAGTGATGATGGCATTGGTGATGGTGATGATGCTGGTGGCGATGCCATTGGTGCTGGTGGTCATGCCATTCATGCTGCTGGTGATACCGGTGATGATACTGGTGATGATGCTGCCAGGGCCGTCCTCAGGATACCATTTTAGGGGTCCAAAAATTTTTCCGGACATACAAAATTTTTCCGGAACAGTAAAAAATTTTCCAGACATCACATATTTTCAACATTTTCCAACATTTTTCCAAATTTTTAACATTTTTCCAAAATTTTTTTCTAAATTTCCGACCACGATCTTGCCCTTTGCCCCCAAAATATTTAACCCAAATAGCAGTTCAACCGACTGAATAGCAGTCCTACCGACTGAATAGCAGTCCTGCCGACTGAATAGAATTTCTGGGGGGGTGTCACACCCCCCCACACCCACCCCCCGTAGCTCCGAGCCTGGATGCTGCTGCTGGTGATGTTGCATCAGGCAATGATGATGATGGTAAGGAATGTTATCATAATGGTGATGGTGCGATGATGATGGCAATTCTCAGTGGCGTAGCCAGCCCGACAATTTAGTCCCGCTATGCAAATTCAAAATTATTATCATTATTCATTTCTTTAGAAATTGATTGTTTTCACAGTCAATGAACACGAAAATATTTGCATAGCGGGACTAAATCGTTGGTCTGGCTACGCCCCTGGCAGAATATTCTCCTTACTGTACTGTATTTAACATATTTTTCTATCAAACAGATTCCTTACTTTGTAGCCCACTTTTGCAATTCATCATCTATATATTTCTTGGTTGTCTTGGGTTGTAATCCAAGTGAATGTCCACATAAATATACACATGGCTCCTCTGGGTTTATTAATTTTATAAAATCAGCTAAAAAATTGGGCAATACTTTAAATATTAGATTTAATAGTTAAATAGTGATTAACTCTCAAATAGGCGCTTCATATTGGATGATGTTTCCACTAACTATAGTTAACTTTAATCACTTTTTTCTACAACCGACCCCTGGTTGATGGGGTATATCGTGAGTTGTGATTCACTCAATTTCGGTTACCATCAGTCGTGAATCAAAACACTAAAAATGTAGTGTGAATCGTGAGGAAAAAATAGTGTTTATCGTTTCAGAACACTTTTCAAAGATTTACCGTTAAAATACCTAAATGTTACTTATTGTTACCGTTAAAGTACCAAATCGGAGTAGGGTGCATTTATAGGGTGCGAAGCTGGGTGTGAAGCAGCTCAATGGGTTATGGTAAATATATTGAAAATACAGTATAAAATCATTTAAAACTGAGATCTCAGTTGCTGCATACAAACTTTCTACAGTGGAGTTCGTTCATTTAACTTTTTTCGCAGAGATCCCTCGCGGACCCCATACACACCCCATACTTCAAAATAAGGTTTCCGTTTTTATATCAATTTTTACTGTAAAATAAGTTAGGGTTAGGTTAAGGTTAGATTAAGGTTAGGGGTAGGGTTAGTATTAGGGTTAGGGTTTAGTTTTGCGTTAGGATAGTTTTTTCTACGTTATTAAAACGGAAACCTTATTTTGAAGTATACTATAAATATTTAGCAATCACCATACTCGATCCTTTCCTCAAAATGCAATATAAACTACACATACAGACTATTTTAACTTACCTAACGGAATATCTGAGTTCTTTGGAATATAATATTCATTTCTGAACTCTTTTAGCGGGTCACAATCGTCTAGATATTTAGCAAAATCTTCGTGAAAGATATTTAAAGCAGATTTATTATTTAATTCAAGCAATTTTGCTGTCGGTTCGAACATTTTTGAGGATTAAATATAGGAGATTTGTACCTGGGTGCACAAAATAAATAATAAGACCAGAAGTCTCACTCGATGTCGGAATCTTTGATGTTGATGTCCCCGCGCATGTCGGCTCGCGCATCTTGGCCGTGTCTCGTTTCCAGTGCCCTAAACAAGTGTAATTTGACAAATTTACATGTAAACATTAAGGAGTGAGGAAGTTAAAACGATACCAATCGAGTTTTAGAGCTTTGGTGACCATTTTAAAAGTATATATGATAAATTCAAAGGTAAGTCTATCGTATTGCATTGTCTTAAATGAATTCTCAGCTAAAATACGGCAATAAATGAATCATAAACTTAGCTAAATTTACTGTTGACAACGAGGTTGACAGATCCATTGCTTTTTTGCCTTGAATAGCTTTACCATAGTCATTTTACCTTAAAATGTAGCTACCGAGGATATCTCTAAGAGATTTTACACAGATTATTTGCAAAATCTCACGATTTAATCATGCTGATAACATGAAAATCCTTGTGCCATTCTATACTTGGCATAATCTCTACATCAATAGTTCACTAATATAAATTCAATATATTTTTGAACCAGTCCATATATTATTATACACAATGTAGTATAGTTAATTTGACCATATTTGAGAAGTAAGGGTGTATTTCATTACACAGACACTGCTGAATTTTAGGTTACATGCCATTGGATTGATATATAAAAACATTTGTAAAAACACACATTATCTTGTTGATAGAATAGTTATTTGCAGTATACTAACTGTTGGCATACTCTATTTCAGGGCTATCAATTGTTTTTGTCACTGGCAGTCTTTGAAATACAATCTTGCTCTGTGGCCTTTACTGACAAGTTGGCTTTTACTACATATGTGGCACTGACACTTCTTTAATTAATGCACCAGTCAATGTAAACCCCCCAACCAGGGAGGGGCAGGGATTTTGACTTGGAGGGGTATTAAAAAAGCGAAATTGTCCCCGCCCCCAGGGATGTCAATGTCCCCTGCATGTCTCTTAACCCCAGGAAAATAGTTTTGTATAATCATAGATCAGCAATAGAAAATCAAATTCATTTATGTTGTTGTATTTAAACTTTTCTTGTCAAGAAAACTAAAACAGCAACACAGGATATATATGTTAACCACTGTCCAAGTCTCCCATCATCGGGGACAAATTTATAATCAAAACTGACCACTTTCCCCGTTAAACCTTCCGCCCCTCCCCGGTTGGGGGCAGGGATTTACATTGACTGGTGCATAACTAGATGATTGCATGAAGCATTGCATGGAAGTTGATTTATAATTAGTTTATGAATAAACTCACACTTTCATTATAATGGTTGATCAAATATATCATATGCATTTGATTGGTGGATGGTCCCTTAATGGTAATGGTGGTCAAATCTGAACCTATATAATGTCAATATGATTTGAACCTATATAATGTCAATATACTGGAAAAGTATCAAATTAAATTTTAATTGTCAATGTTGTTGAAAGTAAATAAATCAAACAATTCTGTTTGTTTCAACTAACTAGTTCACTATCACTTTGGTTTTCAAATCAAAGAATCTTTAACCTGGTTGAGCTTTTGAAAAAGTAGCTGATTGATTGAACGCAAGATTATTTTACTCTGTCTAACGCCAGACAATTTCACTCGTCAAGGGGAAAGTGCTGCCACTCAGTGAACTCAATCAGAGCTCAATGAGCAGCAGCACTCTCCCTCGATAAGTAAAATCATCTGGTATTAGATGAAGTGAAATAAACTAGTAAAGTAGGGTGCATTGGGGCACAATGCAGCTTACTGGGTTAACTGGAAAATATATTTATTAAACAATATACACCCTATACTTGTATTTCAATTCACAGCATGATTTAGTATGCTTATGTCTATTTGACCTAAGTACCTGACAGGAATGATATTTGAATCACACCTGTATTCATT